GTACCTCGAACGACATCAGTTGATGTGTAAGGAGCAACATTGATTCCGCCAGATTCGTTCCTACATGAACAATTTGCTGCTTGCTCGGGAAAGTTGGTCGCCAGGCAAGGACAAGGGATATGGCATGGATGTCATCTTCGATGATTTCAGCAAAGCGTTTGACAAAGTACTTCATAGCAGGTTACTTACTAAGCTTAGGGCTGTGGGCATCACAGGGTCCCCACTTTGTTGGCCTGCTATAGGCTTCGTCGAAGGACTACGTGGAATCAGCTATGAGGGGGTCGACCGATGGTAACGAGGTCGTTTTCCATGTCACGCAGAAGACCGAGAGGCGACCTAATCTACACCGGACGCATTATCCGGGGCCACTTTGGCCCAGAATTGCAGTAGAAATCCCCCTGAGGAAAAACAACCGCATCAGGAGACATGCGCTGACGCTCCGAAAGATGCAGTCAAACGGTCTGCCGCTGGTCTGTCGAGTAGAGTGACAAATCTCTGGAGTGCGCTCCGGAGGACGTGGTGGACGAGCCAAGTGACAAGCTGAAACTCGACAGAGTTATGCAGGAGTACTGGTCTGATGTCAATACCCAATCCGCCTAGTAAGGCCCGATGTGGTGGGGCTAATACGGGAGTTATTACCACTACCCTTCGCACTTGAAGTCGTCCATAAAGAGGTCATGTGGTAACTTCAGTGACAGAATCTGATACATGGTTTGCAACTGTGTCTCACTGGCTGAGTCTGTGGGTGAAGGAGATCGGTACACGTAACCGAATGAGCTGATATTGCGTTGCGACAGTCGCACTTTCCACCACAGTGAGCCAGAAGGCGCAGCGGGATAATCAATTACCTCGCACTGCTGCTAAAATAGAGTAACACACCACCACCCCTTGTAGGTCGATCGTGTCTGAGAAGATTCATACCAGGCAAGCGTGGTCCTGAATCTAGAATGTCGGTTGTCATCCAAGTTTCGTTAACTGCAATAATGTCCCATTGCCCAGTTTGGAAACGCAGTTTCACCTCTGAAAATCTGCTGAGAAAAACTTGGAAATTAATGTAGAAAAAATGCCGTTGATCGTGGAGCAGAAACTCGTTGGGCTGCAAAGGATTAGTTGAACCTACCTTATGGTGGTCGACCGAATTCTCATTAATTTCTCCAGTACCACAATTATCACTTAGAGACATTGAGTGATATGGCTAGGTGTCGTAAACAGTGGCGTTCGTGCATCTTCTCAATTTCTTTGCAACCTTAGACCACTGAACTTCTCCATTTTCTGTTCGACTCCACTTTCAGATTTCCTTTCTTCTCCTATTCTTCATCCAAATGGGCAGCCAAAAGACAGCAACCAAAACCGGCGCACGAATACGCGTGTTTAATGGTTGTACAAACTGAAACTGAAAAACCATAATTATTAGTTCTTTCGACATACCGTCTGATCATCCCCATTGGCATTCCACTCTCTCCCGTAACCTCGTACAGCTGATTATCCTTCTGGACGATTTTTCGATCTGGTTGGAAAATCTCCCTCGACCTTAGCAAACTGCAATCTTTGACCCCGACATCAGATGGTTTATTCATCAGTTGGGAATGTTTGTTATTCTTGTTTTTACCTCTTGTCCGTCTGTGCCATGATTGCACCTTTGTTACGCACAGTAGTGGTTTCCTGGTCATACTGAATGGTCAGTGAGTATGAGATTGAGTGAGTTGGTGATTGAGCGAGTGCGGGAATGACTGAGTGAGTGATTGCATATGCGATTGAGTTGACGTGTGTGCGAATGAGGCAGCGATTGATTGATGTTTGTGTTTTGTGTGGGTGTGTGTTTGTGATTGATTGAGTGTGTGGTGTGTGCACTTTACGATTGTCACACTACTCACTTTCTTCCGGAGTTGTGGTAGTCTCAGGTGTGGTCGTGGCTTCAGTGGTAGCTGGAATTGGAGCAGAACATGGGAAATAGCATTGTCAGATATGTGAGAGTAGAAAGAAGAATTGATTGGACGATCGTGGTCAACGGGAATGTGATTGATAAATTTGAGGGTGGATGAATCTGTTTCCTGAAACTAAAATACTTCGTGTGCTTTGGGAAGAGAGGATTCTCATTTCGTTCCATATACTGAAAATTAATTTCAAATAATAACAGAAGGTTACGCACTTTAGATGTAGATAGTAACGCTTAGGCAATATGCCCAGTCTCTAATGGTTTCCTCGAGGAATTTGGTTGTAAGGCTTCTTCACGAAAGCTCGTTTGGTAAGCTAAACGGAAATGAAAGTAACTAGTGAGAACTCCCTTTTTGATCGATAAAATTCATTTATTGCGAAGGCTCGTAATCAGAGGTGAGAACAACCGTCGTCTATCCTTGAATGGACTTGGCCACAACAGTCAAGGTGGGGCAGGTGGTATGTACGTGACTGACGGCTCTAAACGAGTATTTGATGCTCATGAACATTTAGATCACGATTGATTTTGATGGTCAGACCCTCGACAATTGATGTAACGTGGTAACAGGTTCTGTGCGTTGAATCACTTGTTCTTGCTAATTGGTTTGTCCTAACTGAATTGAGGTGAGAGACAGTAATTGTACGAGGGATGGGTGAAGCAGTTTGAACGCCGTTTTTCTGATTCGCATGTTAGAACGGGACACCCGTCTGACATTATTTGTGACTAGGATTGATCCTCCTCACTGTATCCTTCGACTGATTGAATGCTGCCAACTGCCGTCTCATGATTATCTAAACATTCCACCGCTTCGCCTATGTTAAACTCATTCCCGATGGAAATCATCTCTTCAAGGAACCAAAGTACTTAGATGGACAAAACGTACTAACTTATCTGTTAATAGCTATTTCTTTTGGAAAAAATATAACCAGTATCATAATATGCAGATCGTCGTTCGAGGTTTTATGCCCATTCTCCGTGCACCCAGATTGCGATTTCGCTAAGAGAGGCTTTGTCGCTAGTTTGTCTTTTTGACAATGTCTGCGAAAAATCTTTTTATTCCTTTCTGCCAATATGAATTTAAAGTTTTGAGACTTTTTCCATTTTTTATTTGGAAACGTTTATTTTCGAAGGTGCATCAATTTGCCGTTAACAAGAGGTTTTCGAATCGATTGGCTGTAAGGGAAACACTGTTCTTGAACACGTTTCCTTTTTCGGATAAAATAAAGAAGCGACCTCATCCCATTGGTTGAAGAACGCCCGACTTTCGAACTTGATCTACAAGTTTCGGTGTGGATGCGGGACCACTTCTTTTGAACACAAATCTGTGATGAGCAGTAGATAGGGTAGACACTGTACTTACAAAGACCTGCTGTTCAGTGATGGAAGCCAGCAGCATAAGCGACGGGATTTGGAACGGTCAACCACATAAGCACTCGCTAAGTAGGAAAAGGCAATTGATTTTTCGGGGATCAGAACTCATCCAGAGCTGGGTTCGTCGCTGATTTGCTATTTTGGGGCTAAAGCTGTCGGTTACTGGCATAAGACATGTTTCCAAGTATCGATCCATAAAACATCAAAGAAGCATCTTAAAACAGTGAAAACGTTCAGGCGAAAGCATACTGATCTGAAAATTTGTCGGTTTTTTGCCGAAACCGTCTGAAAATTGTCCTATTAGGCAGTTTAGAAATTATCTGACGCCATATCTCGTCATCTGCATTGAGAGGTTTTGGCTGTTATGACACGGTCCAGATATCATCACTATTCATATTATATTTCCCAATAATGTCGTCTCGGACTGTGATAATCAAATCGTGTTATAAAACCTTTTTTAAATGATAATTGATTCATGATTTTAGTGTGAGCTCAATACTGAGAGATCGCCTAATTTAGCGCAAGGGTTAAGAATTCACTCGCGAAGTCTTCGGCTAGAGAACGGGGACGTCTGTGAAGATCACATCCGTTGAGCTTTGTCGTCGGGCTACAAATATCCTTTTCCCTAGTGACTTTTTCCAGCGATCTAGAATACCTTGGGCACTCTTTCACCCAGTTGAGCCGGTGATTTTCGCGATAAGGGTGTTTCGTTAGCCTTCTCTAGCGGAGCATCTCCTTTTGGGTTTATCAATCTCGCTATAGTCCCGGATGCTGGCTTTCTGCTGTCTGTTTAAAGTCAAAGTGCCCTCTTCCCTAAAGGGCTATGAGTCAGGTTCTTGGACTATGTGCTTCAAGGGGTGCTCTCGTTGAGTCTTTTTTAAGGTGGGAACGATGTGCCACTCACTTTTGTGAGAGCTAGGCCAATATTGGCACACTTTGGGTCACTGATACACAATGAAAATTACTATAGATAAATAATATTACTGAGGAAAACTCTTGCGTCATCGAATAATGATTCAAGAAATTCCCGCTTTCCGGAATGACATATTTAACTGTGCACAATAAATAACTCGTTGCTGAACAGTCAAAATATAAGGGAATCAAATCGAAAGCAGAAAAATACTTGAGAGCAAGACAACTTGATGATTTTTCATACCCGTTCAATGATTCAAAGAGTGCATGGCTAATGGTTGCTGAAACTGATAACTTCGATAGTGTATTAGTGAAAATGCAACATCCTGCATGTGGTTGTTCAGCTAAGAGACCCGAGCTCAGGAGGTCATTCCTGACTTCGGTCTATGATATTATATGGAACAAAAGAAAACAAACTACAGTGGCGTGACGTCATTGTGGTGGTTCTATCCAATATAAACGTTTCCTGTTGCCATGGTTGTTTCGTGGATACCAGACAAATGAAGGAAATGTCGGGTGTTCAGATATCTATTCGCATGTCTGTATTTGTGCATCACCTGACTAAAGAAGTCTAAATAAACGCTTTTCAGTTTTGAACTCAGTAGTTCCTCTGTTCCATTCCTACGTGTCATTTACGGGTTCTTTTATAGTTTGCACAATCCAATCATGCGGCATTGGTGCTCATTCTCTTTGCCGTATGTCATACTTTTCCGTTTGGTACAAGCATATTTATCTCCACTGATAATACATGTTTTTCTCTCTATTTTTCCCTTGACATTAGCAATTGACTGGGTTTGCGAGGAACCAGTCTGTGTGGAATTAATGGTGGACAATCAGTTGCCGGTTGATCTGCGCATATCAGAAGTAGTGAGTTATTTTGTGATACTTTCGTTTACTGCAACGGTCTCACAGCCACACGCTGCAGTAAAGAATAACTCGACTTGGTCAACATTTTCGGAATGTGTTTGTTTCTGATATCGTAATCTCCGACTTAATTTGTCATCGTGGCATCGTTAGTTGCTATTATTTGACTATTTTGAATATGGTGCACCGTCGAGCATATGGTCTCCGGTTATCTGATCATCAAACCATTCTTATGATTTACAATCGGAACATAGTATAGTGTATAAAGTCAGGCCGCTAAGTCATGTTATTTCAATAAAGGTAAAAGAATACATAGCACACAGACGGCTTTTTGTAAATGATGACAATTGTCTGACATCATCACTGCGCTTATAGTCTGGGTGATCGGTTTTCATTCAGAAAATCGCCGTGCCTCAATCAGTTTCCTTTTACGATTAATTCTCCTACTCGGATTGATCCTTTTATCACTTTGTCGCAACTAATTGACTGCTGATAACGATTCGTGCACTTTGATCAAAGTTTCCTGTCAAGTATCGTTTGTTCTGAAATTGCAAATGTGGCATAGTGCAACAAAATGTTTAACAGTTGCAAAGTGTCACCGTTTTGTATTTTCTATTCCATAAAATATGTTCTACTGATTTGCGGTTAAACATGCATTGGTTCAGTCGCTGGCTTTAGAGTGCCAACAACGGTTCAGTACTCTTATGAACAATCGAAACATTGTTATGTGCATAGTTTCTTCCTTCTAACTCTTCGTAGTTTCCTCGGTCGAATCCCATGTACTCTCGTGCCTATTTATTCCTTGGCCTGTATCATTTTGTTCGTCAAGGCTATCAGTCTTTTCATCACTCCTTCGTAATTTCGCTCACTGATTTTATTTTCATTGACTATCACAGTGCATTGAACTGACGCCATTGTCCAACAGGGAACCCGGCGGTCATCACTGTTCGTCCGTTTGTTCGCCGTCGGAATACAGCAGTTTGACCAGTGGAATTCAGCAGAATACTATTCAGTTAGAAGCGGCTCGTCTTGTGATGGAGGTACCCTCAGTGACTCGAGGGCGTATCTCAGTTGACCGGGTCTCCATGCGAAAGCGCCCTTCCTGTCTGAAACCTCTCACACAGGTGAGCTTTTGGCAAACGTTTTGTTCAAGGTTTCCTATCCAAATTCACTGATCATAGATTGATTTCTCCTCCTTCTGTGCTCTCTCTCACAATTGGACAGCGTTTTTTCAATGTGCCACTAAATGAAGCGTGCCTGCTGGAGACGGCCGAGGATCATATTCGATACCCGAGTACGAATTTACAGTCCGCCTGGCGTCGCCGAAATCAGAGTCAGAGTTGTACCATTCCAGCTAATCAAAGTGGTATTCGTCTTGTGTTCACGTTCATTCCAATGGCTGAAATGCACACAATCGAGTCAAGTATGGATGACTCAAACACCAAACCGATGGTGAGTATTTGGTATCTATCCAGTCACTTTACTGTATATTCCACAGATAAAGCCTACTTGTATAGAATGTGAGCAGTAACTGTCCATGTCCCCAGTTTTAGTTGTGCATCTACTGCCTTCGTTTACGCCTGTGATTTTCTCATATTTCACCCTAATTTTGTGTTGGTAACACTGTTTCTTTCGATTCGATTACTTTCTTCATTGATTGACATAGTAATAACATCATACCCTGGAGCATAGGAATGCATTGTTAAG